GTGCGCGTGCGCGTGCGCGCGCGCGTGCGTGTGTCGTGTTTCCGCTCGTGTCATGAAAACTCCAACTAACCTCCCCCCAACAACCTCCCTCCAACTCCTTCCGTCAGAATTCCGAAATATGGCTTTTTTCGAGCCTTAATGCGACCTTCTGCTGGTCCGAGCCAAAAAGGAAGCAAGGCCGGAAAGAGTTTCAGTCTTACCCTGGGCTGCCAGTCTTCATTTTGATTCGGAGAACAAGCAGAGAAGCCCAGACCCAACTGGCCAAGAGGGTGCATCAAAGCTTGCGGTTATGAGTGTCGGCTTCTCAACAAGTGTGCTTCTGGATGTCAGACTTGTCAACCAAATGAGCTGGCAGCCACCTTTTTGGCGAAAGTCTTATTGAGGTATGTGATTTCACATTAAAGATACTTCACAAACTCAACTCAATCGTTTGCGGCAGCAAGAACAGCATCAACAGCAGCGCGAAGCCCTGCAAAGCCAAGTTGGTTGTGCGAAGTCTGTAGTCTGCCACACCTTGGTAATATTTTCTTGTATATTCGGAAAGAGCAATTGTGCAGAGAACTAAATACAAGCAGGGTCTTTCGACACGTTTGTTTGCATCTCTGAAGCAGCAGCTTCATAATGCCACATATATATATATATGTATATGTATGTATTACTGTATACCAGCAGCGGGTGAAGCTTACTTTCGAGCTGTTCAGCTAGTAGAGAACAAAAGCATGGCTGGGCGGGATAGATGTGAGGTTGGCGTCGTTATGCGATATTTGGGCCAATTTCCAAGCGAGCTCCAGCCTCGGCATGTTGCAGCTGGTAGCATCGTGCGGAGCGTGCGGCGGAGGTCGGACTTGAAAGAGACGATAATACCCGAATTGCTGGAGGAGGATCCCTCGTTGGGACTTAGCCTATGCTGTTGTCTTGACCATCGTGCATTGTTCACCTTGGTCAGCTGAGGCGAGACGGCTTGGTGTCTTTTGAAGCCTTTGAGCGATTGATGCTGAGGCGCTCAATGTGGTGCCCATCAGGATGCACTGAGCACACGTCTCTCAACGCTGCGACAGGTATCTGAGCGATCACACTTATGATCCTGATGACTCAGAGACGTTACTAGCCGCCTTCAGGGTCTTGCTCTTGGCGTGCTGCGATCCATCGTCCAATGCCAGATCTCAAGCCCTGCAATGTTGCATTAACAGGTCTTGGACCCACAGGGGCACGGCTACATCGATTCTAACTTGATGCACGAGTGGCTTTCCACTAAAGGTGGCAAGGCCCGGCATGGACGATTCCTGCATTTGAGCTCGTGCTCTCGTCGAATGTGGAAGTGCTGAGCCGAAGAGGCGGCAGACTTCTTCAAGGAGCGGGAAACATCGGACTTCCTGGAGTGACCTGCGAGGGAGGGCCTGAATGGCGGTCCAGACTTTAGTTGGCCATGTCGAGAAGCTATGGACCTTACTTACACCTAGGTTTCATCAAGTTTCTAAAACATCCCAGCATATCCTACCATCGTATCGCACCGTTGCCCAACTGCTTCTCCCATCATTCCCACGAGGGAACACCCTATCATGATCCGGAACCTTGTTCCTCACCGGGACACATCTGCTGAAGCATCCTCACCCCGGCCAACTTGGAGGCCGTTATCTTGCCTCGACCAAGCTGTGTGTAAGCCACTACTCACGACGTGATCGACATGAGATAAGAGCGGCCTCCTTGCCTCCACCTCCAGACGGTGAGAGTCGTGAATGGTTCTACCGCGCAGGTACGCCAAAGACAAAGAAAGCTCTGACTCCAGCAGAATTTACTACGAGGATTTGCTGACATGCCCGGTGTATTCTTGACTGCATCCGCAACAAACATCTTACTAGCAGGATTATGTTGCAAAGCTGAACGCAGACATAGAGAAGCACCTGGAGAATCTTTACCAGGTTCCTTGCCCCAGAGTCGATGGCTGCAGCTTCTGGTTTTGCCAGTGGCTTGAGTTTGCTGCCGCATGTTTCCCAATGCAAGAATTTGGCAAAGGTGGCCCGCGGATCTGGCCGTGACGCCCTAAGTGTTGACAGAATGCTTTCCAGCCGCAGCGCAGAAGTACCCTCGTGAGGTCAATGATGCCTTGTGCAGCCAGGTCAACTCTGATCTCCAAAGGTAATCGAGCCAGTAAGTTGTCACATCGTTACTGAAAAGGTTTGAGACGATAAGCCCTGCAATGCACCCCTGACCACCCTGTTACGTCCTGCTACAGCTGCTCCACTCCTCACTACTGCTACTACTGCCACCGCCACGGCAACCATGTCTGGGTTATTGCGACTGTTGTACTACTGGTAAACTGACTAAGTGCTTTTTGCTGCTACTACCTCTTTTACCCTTTACCTACCTTCTGCTACTGCACTTGCAACACCACGAAAGTGGCGATGCACGCCGTCCGAATTCAATGTGCCTACGTGTGATGCCGAAAGCAGCATCAGACAAAACGAAGGGTGTGTGCGTGCTTCTGTGCTGGTTCTTGACACTCATTCATGGTCAGAGAAGGATGCTCTGTAACTCTAAGCTGCCAGGAACTGGTGAACAAGGTCGTGAAGTTTCAGACTGAAATGTATGGAATGTGATTTATCGGCAACCATGCCACTTGCTGTACATAGTCGATGTGCTTCAGCCGCTTCTAGGGCAGTGCCAAAAAGGATAGGTCCGACCGGGTCAGACTAGTCGCATCGCAGTGGGCCCCGCTTGCGTATTGCTCAAACACTGCACGTTCAACACAGCCAACACCAAGTTGAGGGAGCCAAGGCCAAGAACTCTGCAGCAAGTGCCTCGTTTGACACATCGTGACAGGCCGCACCTAACACACCCTTCTCAAAGAAAACTTCAGCCACACAGTCACTTGCGAGATTCTGCCTTGCAAAGCTTTGCCGAAGGTTCGTTGATTGCATCATGGTCATGGCCTGAAGTTGTGTCGAAATCATCCTTTCATGGAGACACGCTGGAATCCATCGCCTGCCAACTTGTACAAAGGAGATGCCAAGCACTTCCGGGTCGTGGCAAGGCTGGGCAGTCATCCTGAATGGGGGCTAGTTGGCTTGCTTGGCATGGCCACAGCTGCATATAGTCATCATATAGTTATCAATTTGTCGAGCCACCCTGGAGCAGCTTCGGGTCTAAACGCAGCGCTTAGTGTCCCTGAATACTGAAGAGCAGCACAAAGGCCCAGCGGTGGAGAAGGGCGCCCGAATGGCTCTTGTCTGAGCTGCAGCTTCAGTGTTCAGCGTTCTGCCATCCTTGACACCTAAAGCCTGGAGGCAAAGTTGGCAAAAGCTTCCGAGCGACTGGTCAGCTGTTCTGCGGCTGACATTCTGAAGCAGGACATCCGATCAACTGGTGCCGGTGCGACATGTCGGACATGGCGGGATTCCTGGCAGTTATCACGTTGAAAGTTTGGCCACTTGGGTTTTCGGATGTGGGCGGTTACGACCTCGCTTGACGATGGAAACCTGCGATCCGGAATGAATGATCCAGGACTTTGAAGCATTGTTTGCTACAGCTTTGACTGGCAACGACATGCACAGCTTGTCACAGGCGCTTGAAATTTGCGGTGGCAGTAGTTGATACACAAGCATGTAACGTATGACAGATGAAGACTTGGATGGCTTCAACATTTGCAGATCGCGCTCATAGGGCCCAGGCAGAGGTGCAGTGAGATCAGTGAGTCGAGGGTGTCGATTGAGCGTGCTGCCAGCACGCGCAAGCTTCAATCGGATCTTACAGTCTTTGGAGGCTATTGTCGATCAACAGATCGCAGAGTTCATCTCGCGCTTAGAGGTGCAGCTTCAGGACATCATGAGTGATGGCCGCCGCGACGCCATGTGCATAAGCTAAGAGATACAACATCGCACCGCTTTCTGCAAGGACCCGAATGACCCGACGGCTCCTGTCAGCAGCTTATCTGAGCAACCAAATCAGGAACGCAACACCGCAACATGCAGCGGAATGCATCAAGAGGAACGGAGTCAAGTGCAACCAATCCATGCTTTATCAGAGGACATGATCTTTGCGTTTCCGACTCTTGTTTTGCAGTAGTCCGTGCACCTTCGGCGCCAAATGTGCTCGTCGAGCCGTACTTATGTTTTCTACTTGATCTTGCAAGCCAGAGGCCTCGGCCTTTCCGTCGAGGTGAGCTCGTCGTAGACATCCTTGCAAGGGTCGGGAAGCATTCGGCACTGCCTGCGATAGTTTCGGACCACCGCATCAGAACTTCAGAACTTGGTACTGTAAGCTTGGCCTTTCTGGTGAAGGTTAGTCCTGCGAGTGCTCGTCCATGATGGCCATGATGTGCACTGGAAGAGCTTGATTGGGATAGCGGGAGATCCGAAAAATGTGAACTGATGGGACCCGCGATGCCATGTGTCTCTCAGGTCAGGAGACTTTTGGCGAATGAGCATGCAGCGTGGCAGTTCTGTGGCGATGTGGCACCCGACTTCTTTACATGGACTGTTTGTCCCAAAGAAAAAGCACGTTGTATCGGACACCTTGAACGAATCGGTTTCGATTGCACCGAGATGCTGCAGAATGGAAGGTTCTTGAGCAGCCTTGAGAGCAGTCAGCTGTGCGTCGCGCACATAACGCCTGCTTGATATGCGTGGTTAATCGGAAGCGGAGCCGTGACGCTTGAAGTTGTGTGATCGTACAAAGGCCGCTTGTGGTTTTGTACATAGACCTGGACAAACCAACGGAAAATGATCGAAGAAGAAGACCAGCAAAAGTCAGTGATTGTTATGCGGATCTGTCCGAAGGGCCAAGGTGCATGCTCAGCTTCGCAACAAGCATTAATTATTGTACAACGTACAGCCCAAAGTGAGCCCAGAACCGCGCACACCTTGGACACTTGAACGTCGGAAACTTTCATGATGTGCACCAGCTCAGTGGAGACGTGTTTGCAGAGAATTGTTTGTGTTTCTCACTGTCAAAGATGGTGGGATTCTGTGTTGCGGACACAAATACAGTTTGTCAAGATTTGGACAATGCAACTTCTTGCAGTTTGCAAGTAGGCGCTTCGCGTCGTCCGCCTCGGCTCGGTCGCAGGTGGAGGGTAGTCTCCACATCGGTGCAAAATAGGCAGGTTCGGAGTGCACAAGACGACGAATGCGGGCCGGGGGGGAGGGGGGAGGCCGAGGTCGATTCGAATTCATGGCAGCTCGGGGGGGTTTGTAAAGCTTACCATTTATTAATTATCTTACTAAAACACATATATGTTGATAATTTGTTCCACCGAATTACTATGATGCATGTGACGACCGCCGGCGCTATGTCGGACATGGACAACCAAGCAAGCTCAAGAGAAAACTCTTGCTGAGACAGAAGCCAGAAGCAAACTCTTCGGCGTCCGAGGCAGCGGTGCAGCCCACCCTCCGATTCACAAAATACATCGGTTTCGCCGAAGTCCTTTCCATCGACTTCTAGGGAACTCCGGGTGCAATACTCTAAGGCTTTTGAGCGTTCCTCCGACTCATTCAGCACGATGTATCTAGCAACGAGCAAGGCTCTTTCATCAGAGGCCTCAAAGCAGTAACTACACATGCAACAGCAAAACTCAGAAAACCTCGTTGTAGACAGAAGCCTTCTAGTTGACCATTTTGACGCGGAATGAGCTTGTAACCAGTGCGGCTCCTTGTAAACACAATCCCAGAGCCATCGCGGATCCATGAGTTGGCTTGGTGCAACGAAGCTTCAGTCAAGGTGAAAACTTTCGGATGCCTTGTGTCACGTACATGAACAAACAGCTGCCCTGTGCAACGACAAGCCGATTCAGCACGGGCGAAAGACTATTGGTTTTCACTAGTGGTTTTCAGAGCTTTTCTGTCTCCAACATTTTGGACTTCCAGCCACGGTTTGTTGAACTTGAACTGTTGAGTAGTGAAGATAGCCAGCAAGCTGAAAATTGAATGCGCCCGGCAAGGATCCCTTTCGTACGGTTGTTTCATTAACGGTGCTGACAGTGGGAAATGAGGATGGGCAGGCAATGACATTTGATCACATCGGCTAGTGTAGGCGACCTGGTGCCAGTTGCAGGGTGGGCTCGTGCCGTCGGATGAATCACTGGTCAAGGTGTTGTTGTGCGGCCGTAGCGGCGCCAGTGAGACATCGTGCCGCTAAAGGGATGGGAATGCAACGGACTTTCTTCTTTGTTTTGGCCGTTTGCAGAAAAGCAGTGTACGCTAGCTGCCTGCGACGGCAGCAAGATGAAGTTGGAAGTCAACCATAGCCTGTCATGTCATGTCATGGACCATTCAAGGCAAGTAACTTGGGCTTGTGCGAAGTTTGTGCTGAAACGAAATGTCGATTGACTTGATGTTGGGCTTAGGCCCATATACATCGCTTGTGACTTGCCTGGGACAACACGCCGGTGAGGGAAATCCTTAGATTGGTGGTTAGCAACTGCAGATGGTCCTGCCAGAACTTCAACGGAAAGGCTTGCACAAGAGGCTTCGGAAGGAGTTTGCACTTCATGCAGGGTGGACTTCCCTGGACCCCGCAAGGTCCTTCGGTGTATTCTGGCTTCTGACGCTAATGATCAAACCTGATACCGTCATTGCTCTTGTGCGTGACATCCGATGATCGAGGCCGATGACATGTCGCAAGCAATGGCAGATCTGCAGGCCAAGCAGTTGGGAGTTTGCTGCGGCTTCCCACCCCCTGCGATCCTCACGAGAAGCACTTGCTGTAGAGTACACAGCCAGTATGCATGTTCTGTCTGCGATGCCAGGACTCGGTTCGTGTCCAGGAGAAGCGGGGAAGGCTTCAGATGCTGAGGACACGAAAAAGCACGTGTCGCCTCGAATGCTGTGCAAGTCGGCAACCGCTTCGTCATGCCAATCCTACTCTCAGGAGCCAGATCGAGCAACAAGAACTCTGCAACAAGAAGCAGGTACAGCAAAAGTTCGTAATCTGCGGGAGGTGTATATGATTGCTGTATCATCCCGCTGCAGGCAGACAGCAACATGGCCATGTCTGCCCGCATGCAGGCAATCTCGGCAGCGACCTTCTTATGTGCAGATTCTCTTTTGGAGGCTGCGAAGTCAAAGCTTGACCGCGACACATCCGGATTGATGGCCGCTCCCCCGAAGGAAACGGGCGAGTCTGGGGGAAGGGGGAAACGCTGCTCGCAGCCCTGCCAAGGCAGAGCTGTGTGAAGACAGATTCTTGCCGACCCGTTCTGCAGCCTGATCTGGAGCTGTTGAGCCCTTCACGGCTCAGCATAATTCGATTGCTTCTCCTAGCCGCGCCACTTGATGTCACGAGTCACATGCGATGCAAGCTAGTGTTGCTTCGTCATGGACTGGCGCGGTACCTAATTCGGGGAATCTTCGAGCCACAGGCTTGGACCAAGAGGGAAAAAGAGCAGCAACACCCCTACCAGCACGCAAGTTTGGGCCATGGGTTTTGCATCCAATGCAACAGCATCCCTTGCCTGCTCCAATCACGAGACGGGAGGGCGATGTATGCGATAGCACTCGAAGCTGCCTAGCTCGAACCTACTTGATTTAAATCGTTTTGCTGATTGTCCGTCGTTGGGGCGATGATCTTGCGTCGGATTCTTCCTTGTTGGCTTGCTGTAGTGTCGACTCTGCAGCGGAACTTTGCTTTCCTGATGCGATTCCTGCAACGAGCAGACAGTCCATCGTAGATGTGGGGGAGCGGGGGGCGCCAATCCCAATAAGAGTCGGAGATTGCACAGCAAACTGTCGCCGACTTTTCGGGTGTTGCCTTGATGTGATCTTCGACGGGCCTGTGGATGCTCCGTGGATTGAGTCCATGGGTCACCTCTCCAGAGCCCCACTCTCAAAACACGGAAAGCGGAGAGGTTCATGAACACCGTCTTGGACGACGGCAAAAAACTGTGCCTCACATTCGGAGAGATCATCTCTCTGACTACTCAGATGAGGCCTGCGCTTGTAACTTTGGATTATGTCCGGTAGTTGGAACAGAGATCAGCAAGAAAAGACCAGATTTGAGCAGTTTGAGTAACTTCGAAGAGCATGGAAGGCTCTGGCAATTCCAGCTTCAACTTCTTGTGCGGAGCTGGGATCACAAAGTTGGATTCCATTTCGCAGCGGCATCGGCCTCTGATCATTGCAGCTTCTTTCTGTTCTCTCGGTGTTGCAATCCCGTCCAGCTATGGGATAGGTCCTTTCAACTATAGGCTCTGCTCGACTTGGGGTACTTTGGCTACCAACTGCACCATGGAGGACTGACACCCGCACTGCGCGCACCAGGAGCATTGCAAGATGATTATTACCAGTTCATGACTGAACCTTTCAGTACCCATGATAACCCTGCAAATTCATGGTTACGATATGCCCACAAGAAAAATACCTCGCCCCCAAGGCTCAAGCCGAGAACCCTCACTCCCAAACCCAAAAAGGCGGGCCGCTGTCTCAATAAGACTCTATCTGTGTGTACTCACGGCTTCAGAAGCGCTGCTTCGGGCTTTGCGGTTTTGAGGCTTCATGAACAGGAAAGCAGTCTACAGTTATGAGATAATGTGGCGGCCCGAATAATAGACCCCCCCCCCCCTCGACCAAAAATGTTGGCTTGAATAGTGTGGAACCGGGGGCGCCT